ACTTAATGATTAATTTTTATTGTGACAAAAAATGGAAGAGTAAAATTTTCTGTTGAGATAGCTAGTCTCCATAACTATTTCCTACAGTTTTGATCAGTATTTCCCCAGAGAATATAAACATAGATCACCAAAGCTTTGACAAATTTCCAGGGTCTTTCCATAAAGTATACCATTTCAAAAATACTTAATTCTAGTAACATTTTACCTACACTGACATACCCAGACGAGACTCATCCTTTTCTGATCCAACAGCTCTTCACGTGAAATTCTTAAACTCATTAACAGCAAACAAACCAAATGAGTTGTGGTAGCTTTCTTTTTTTTTTTTAAAGCAGAACAGAGATTTAGGATTTTCCAGGACTCCTTTAGGAAGTCTAGTTTTAGGTGTGAAAAAGAAAAAAAAATGTACTCTAAAATTTTTTTGTTTTACTTTTATAAATAGAGAGTTCCAACTGAGGAGACCAAAACAAAAGAGTAGTCAAAGGCTGTTGACAGACCCAATTGAAGTAGCCGTAGATTCATAGAGTTTGGAAAATAATCCTGGTGAGACAGAGAACCTCTGCCAGGTAGGCAGATTCCAGAGAAGGTATAGAATATCCTTTGCGTACGTCATCCATCAGTAAACAGAAGGAAGTAAGCCCTCACAGACGAGGAAGCTGCCAGAATTGTAATATCTTTTACAGCTCACTCCCTCTCCAGAGTTGGGTATTACAAGCCAAAACAAATAAAATTTACTTTCCAACTTTTATCCTTCGTTTTGCTCGTTCATATTAAGTCAGATGTAGAAAGAAATGCAAAATGTGAAACAAGACCATTTTTGTCATCAGTCATTATGGTTTGGGCAAATAGATGTTTTTCACAAAACACGTGTTTTTTATGTTGAAATGGAATGAATTTGTCATGGCTATTCATTTGAAATTGGAATCAGTATTTTCAAATGTTCTGGTTTTCGTTCAAATACAATAAACATGAATAGCTGCCACTCACTTAAATCTTAGCTCTTTACTGTCTTCAGATAAGACCAGACAAAACTATTCTTTTTCTGTCAAAACCGAAAGTGTGAACTTTCTCATTCTTCTTCATTATTTCACCTGGCAGTCTCAACCAAATTAAATGTATAAGTTTTAATTATAATGACTAGTCAAAGTTATATTTTATAGGGAAAATTTGGAAAGGGGGGGATGAGGGTCATAAGAGCTATCTGTCCCATATAAGCACTCACAGACTATCAGAATCACAAACAAATCACACACATGCCTACTGCCATCACCTTCAAGCCTGTCTCCTTCAAGTAGGAAAACTGAGGTATGACTTCACTATAGCATATAAAAATCAGAAGCAAACAACCATAATTTTTGTGTTCTGTTTTGTAATCAAAATTTTAGTATATTGGGGGCCAGAGCCATAGCACAGCGGGTAGGGCATTTGCCTTGCACGTGGCCGACCTAGGTTCGATCCCTGACATCCTATATGGTCCCCCAAGCACTGCCAGGAGTAATTCCTGAGTGCAGAGCAAGGAGTTACCCCTGAGCATCGCTGGGTGTGACCTAGCAATAATAATAATAATAATATAATAACAAAATTTTAGTGTATTAACTTACTAAAATTTATCTTGGTTATTTATGGTAATTATGGATTAGTTCAACTTAATATTAGTCTATTTCAAATTGCCTGAAGAGCTTAGAAATCTTATCTTTAAGCAAATATGCTGTAAAACATAACTGCCATTTATATAGCTACAGAACTCTTGTTCTCTTCACTTGAAAATACACATTTTCATAGTATTTGACATTATATAAGCATACTTTTATTTGACTAGTGATCCTACTTAAGGAGGAATTAGCTCAAGTAAAATAAAATGAACATTAGCATTTTACTTGACACTGATAAAGTAGTAAAAGAAAGACTTCAATGCCTGAGAAGTCGTGCAACAGGTAAGGCATGTGGCCAGTGTCGGTTCGATCCCTAGTACCCCATGTGGTCCCATGAACCTGCTGGGAATGATCCCTGAATTCAGAGCCAAGAGTCCATCCTGAGCACTGCTAGGTATGACCTCCCCCTGAAGAGAGAGACAAGAGACAGAGATAGATGTTTCGCCATTTACCATTTTACTGTTTGTCATGCTACATTCAGGGACTTACACGTGAAAGGCGAGTGCTGCTCAACTGCTAAGCCTCATTCCCAGCTCCATGGACTTAGATTCTTAAAATGTTACTAAATTTAACTCTTTCTGTAATTTATATATTACGGTCACAGTTCTCCTGTTGTTCATCGATTTGCTTGAGCGGGCCCAGTAACATCTCCATCATGAGACTTGTTGTTACTGTGTTTGGCATATCAAATACGTCATGGGGAGCTTGCCAGGCTCTGCCGTGCAGGCGAGATACTCTCGGTAGCTTGCCGGGCTCTCTGAGAGGGGCAGAAGAATCGAACTCGGGTTGGCCATGTTGGCTGTGTGCAAGGCAAACGCCCTACCTGCTGTGCTATTGCTCCAGCCCAATTTATATATAGTCAGTTTAATTTATATATAGTCAGTTTAAAGCTTCAGAGATTCAGTTCCCTTGTTTCCTGTGAAGTTTGGTGAGGGTTGGGGAGGGTCAGTGGCCAAAAGCCCCTGACCACAAGAATGTTATCCTCAGGTCAGAGCGATAGTACCACAGGCAGGGTGTTTGATTTGCATGCAGCCCACCTGGGTTTGATCCCCAGCGCCCCACCCGTGTGGTCTGTCTGAGCACTGCCAAGAGTGGTCACTGAGTTTAGAGCCAGGAATAAGCCCTGAGCTCCACCAGGTCTGGCACCAAAACCAACAGAATCGCACACTGACTCAGAGCGCACCTGCCTTGGCAAGTGTGTAGTCCTGAGTTCAAATCCCCTGCGTCCCTCGTGTGTCAGACAGACACAATCCAGGCCGCTCTGCTGTTTGGGATTGATAACTCTGCTCCCTGTGATCCTGGCGAGCAATTTCTGGTCACACACAGCCAAGTGCACCACAAACATGGGTGTTACCCCAGGCAAGATGCGTGAGTGCCGTGGCCAAGATGAACCGCCCCTGACAAGCACACACTTATGCAAACGCCACAGCTGTAACAGTGTGTCTCAGGAGTATGGCCAGTGGGCACCAGCAGTGGAAAGGAAGAGAGGGAATGAAACTAGATGAGGGACTGGGAAGGGGGGGTGGGAGGAGCAGGACACCTGCTTTGCAAGCTGAGGCTGTAAGTTCAATACCTTGATGCTGCCCACATGTGCCAAACAGGGTTTCAGTGACTCTAGCTGAGCGGTGCCCCTGTGCCACAGCAGAGTGCAGTCTGCAGCTCACAGCTCATGTGTGTGTGTGTGTGTGTGTGTGTGTGTGTACGTGCTCAGAGCATGTGCATCACATCTCACAGGCCACCCCTGGTAAACATCACAGCCAAGAGTGGTGTGATGTTTACCAGGTGCAGCTCCTGGTTGTTATAGCAGCAATGATCAGAAGGGAGAACATACAATTAATGCAATAGACACTAGAGACATTTTCAACATAAGGTGCCGTAATCTAATTTATTTTGATTTTCTTTGGAAATTAGAAAACATGCCATCCGATCATGGTGAAATCTTTTCTGAACTGTAGACGCAGGCATACAATGCTTACTGGCTTCAGTTCTGCAACTTTAGCTGCAGCAAAAGGGTATACACACAAATCACCAATTCAGATTACTCTTTCCCAGTGTGCATGAGTTTCTTTTTTTTGGGGGGGGGGGGGCGGGGGCACACCCGGCGATGCACAGGGGTTACTCCTGGGATCTGCACTCAGGAATCCTCATGGTGCTCAGGGGACCATATGGGATGCTGGGAATCGAACCCAGGTTGGCCGCGTGCAAGGCAAACACCCTACACACTGTACTATTGCTCCAGCCCCTAAGTTTCTTAATTGACTTGATTTTCATATAGAAACGTTCACATAGAAATGATTTAGAAACCATGTTCCTGTTTCTACCCGATGGAGAATAGATCTTTGTAATCTTCGCTCATGATCCCAAAATGTCTGGCCATAGAATAAATTTTCTCATGGTTGCCACTGAAAACTAGCTGTCAGCTACGAAAGAACTGAAAGAAAAAAGAACACAAAGTCAACAGGGAATGTGAAGTAGAGAGCCCGCGAAGCTCAAGTCTCACGCTGTGTTTGGATTCTTTCTGAGAACCTAGAAATGACCTCGTGCGTGTATCACACACCAGCCAGTCAGCCTGGTCTGTCAGGCGTCATTTCCATGGGACACCTCTGAAACTCTTCGTACATTTTCAGGCCCGAGTGATAGTGAATAGAGCACTTGCCTTGCACGTGGCTGACCTGGACTCAAATCCCTAGCACCCCGTGAGCCTGCCAGGGTGATTCCTGAGTGCAGAGCCAGGAGTAAACTTGAAGCATGCCTGGGGTGGCCCGAAAGAGAAAAGTGAAAAATAGTAAATAAATAAAAAGCCTGTTCAGTATAACAGTATATATATATATATATATAATATATTTCTTGAACAAATAAAACTATGTTCATGAGACTTGTATTTGATTGGTTCAGAAGGAAAGGAACCAGTGACTTGTTATAACAATTATAACAACAATCTAACAGAGTTCAGTGTTTTTCCTTTAAGTGTTGGTGGCTGGCGAAGATCATATTTCCTCCTAGAGTTGTTGCCTCTCCCATGAACATGCTAACTTTTCTGTTCGCTGGTTTTATGGCATGGTGCTCAAGGCCCCATGTTGTGCCAAGGCTTGAACCTGGGGCCTCACACTTGGAAGGCACGTGTGCTACCACTTGAGTTCACCCCTAGCCTTTTGACGTACTCTAAACCCTCTGTACCCTCCTGATCTGTAGTACTGTCAATCCTGTCTCTTAACAGTACTGTCCAGTCTCTTAACATCTGCCCCTGGGGCTCAGTCTTTGCTGGTCTTCCTGCCCTTCCCACCTCCACCCCCCAACTTTCAAATATTTGTCTCTTGAACTGTCACTAACCCTTGGTTTCTTTTGCAGTGACAAAGTCCAAGCCCTCTCCTACGCTCAGCATACTCGGCAGCTCATCTCATGTGGCGGTGATGGTGGCATTGTCGTGTGGAACATGGATGTGGAGAGGCAGGAGGTAGGTCTCATGGATGTCTCATGGCAGGCTGCGGGCCTTGGTCCTCAGCTGCTGGAAAATGGCTGAGCCTTCCCTTCTGCTCATCCCGTAGTTCTTTTGTGATTAAGCCACAAGTAAACTATGTCGAAGGATAAAAGTTTCTAGCATAAGAGAAGCTTCCTTCTTCCCACCCCCACCAGATGGCATACAGTATTTACATAATGAAGATTCCTAAGATTGTCAGTATTTTCAACTATATTCAAACCAGGAATATAGTCTGTGCTAGAGTACGCCCCTGGCATGAGTGAAGCCCTGGGTTCAACCCCTGACTGCCCCTGAAAAAAAAAAATCAGCCGAAACTGAGTTGATTTTTTTTTCTTTTTTTTTTTTTTTTAGTTTTTTGAGTCACACCTGGCGATGCACAGGGGTTACTCCTGGCTCTACACTCAGGAGTTACTCCTGGCGGTGCTCAGGGGACCATATGGGATGCTGGAAATCGAACCCTGGTCGGCCGCGTACAAGGCAAACACCCTACGCGCTGTGCAATCTCTCCAGCCCCTGAACTGATTTTTTTTTTGGTTGTTTGTTTATTTGGGTTTTGACTTGGGAGCCATACCCAGCAGTGTTCAGGGACCGGCTCTTCTTGGCTATGTGCCCAGGATGACCTTTGGTGGTGGTTGAGGGACCATGTGTCATGGTACCAGGGAATCGATCCCAGGCTGGCAGGATGTAGGGCCTTAACTCCTGTATTAGATCACTCTGACCCACTGAGTTGTTGAAACTGGAAATATGTTATGCCATTCACAGCAAGTAGGAGAATCTATTTTTAGGTACTTAGCAAAAGTATACTTATACAAAAGTATAAAGTATCCTACAATACCATGAGCTTTATGTCATTCAGGGAAATGGTGTGCAGTGTGAAATACTATTTGATAACAGAAGTTTGGAATTAGTAGAAATAATAGAAATAATTATTTTTTGAGTCACATTCAAAATAGTGTTCTAGGGGCTGGAGAGAGAGCACAGCGGGTAGGGCGTTTGCCTTGCACGCGGCCGACCCGGGTTCAATTCCCAGCATCCCATATGGTCCCCTGAGCACCACCAGGAGTAACTCCTGAATGCAGTGCCAGGAGTAACTCCTGAGCATCGCTGGGTGTGACCCAAAAAGCAAAATATAAGTGTTCTACATTATGACTGTATTCCTTGTCGTGTTTAAGCACATATTTAGTAATTTTATAACATTCTTTTTTCTTTTAATTTTTATTTGGACACATGATTTACAAAGTTGTTCCTAATAGAGTTGTTCAGGCATAGTGTTCCAACACCAACCCCACCACCAGTGTCCCCAGGTTTCCTCCCAGTCTCCAGCCATGATTTGAATTTCTTTACTTACATGGGTCAAAATCATAGCCTTCTTTTTTTTAAAAATGAATTTTTTTTTCACCTTTGAGTATCTTGACAAACTGATATTACTGAATATCCCCCTTGATAAGTATTCTAAAGTAACCATTTTCTCATTTTCCTAGAATTATGCTAGAGAGACTTTTATCTTTGACGGTATATATTTTTCTCATTTATTTCTTTGCATGAAGCAAGGATTAGACAGAAAAACACACTTTAAGAAAACAAAAGCAATTTCCCAGTTTCTTTCCATATCTCAACCCAATCTCATTTCGAGAGAGTAGTTGCTGTTACCCACAACGTAATGCCTTTCAAACACCAGTAATTAAATGCTTAAGAAGATTAAAGCTTGATTTGCTCAAGCCATAAATCCACGGGAGTTCTATTAGTAACTGATTAAAATGATCATTACTGGTAGGATGTGGGGAATTGTAGAATATTGTTTTTTGAAAGTGCTACTTGGCCCCATCCATGTAAAATCAGGGACACGGGTGCGGTGTCTGCCAGTAGGCTCTCGGGACCTTCCATGGGCCCAGGAACTGCGTGGTTGGTGCCTTGACTGAGGGACAGTCACATCTGCTCTGTCCTGGCGTTCTCCCAGGCCTGACTGACCACACCAGGGGAGGGAGGAGCACTCGGCCCTGTTGGCCTTGGAACAGACAGCTTCCGCTCTTTACTCCCGAAGGTTAGAGGCCCGAAGGAGGAGAAAGGTAGGTTTCCCAGAGGAGCAGCTGGCTGGATAGTGGCAGTTTTTTGAGCCACCTTGCTAAAGTGTCACCTTTTGATAGGCAGTTCTGGGGCATTCAGTGGTATCTGCTGGCTGTCTTAAATCTTGTTGAGTGACTAACAGCTCTTAAAAGCATGGTGAGGATGGTACCATCCATTCTTCATACATGTGTTGTTTCATAAGCATAAATGCCCTATGTTGTCTGGGGGCTACCTTCTGGTTACAGCAGGCCCCTGCCCACGCATCTCAACTCAGTGGGCCTGAGATGTGTCATGAAGCAGCTGCCACACCAGAGTGCTGACAGAGTTTCTAAAAGATGGCCAACCACACATGCTAGGGGAAAAGGGAGCTCAGATAGAGAAGGGAGCACCAATTAAAGGATGTTGGGAGGATCCTCCCGGGATGGGAGAAGCATGCTGAAAGTAGACTATAGACCGGACATGATTGCCACTCAATGCCTCTTTTGTAAACCACAACACCCAAGAGGAGAGAGAGAGAAAAAGGGAATGCCCTGCCACAGAGGCAGGGTGGGATAGGGGGGTGGGGGGTGGGAGGGATACTGGGATCCATGGTGGTGGGATGAGTGCTTGATCATTGTATAATTGAAACCCAAGCACAAAAATTTGTAAGTCTACAACTGTACCTCATGGTGTCTCACTAATAAAAATTAAAAAAATAATAATAAAATAAAAAATAAAAAGGGAAAAAAAAAGATATGTGGGAGAAAACTCGGCCGAAGAGTGAAGTGATAGAAATGATTCAGTTACCAGCCCCTTGAGGTGGAGCCCAAGTGCTGGGTGCTCGGGAAGGGCAGTGTGCTCACTAAGGGCTGAGGAAGGACATGGTGCTGAGAGACTGATGGCCTGGATATGCTCTGACCAAAATAACCCCAGAGTGAAGACAAGGTAACCTCGGAGGCCACACAGTGCCTGTGGAGCCCAGGGCAGTGTGGACACCCTAGACTCAGGCCGGCTAGCAAGGGCACCTCGAGTGGTGGACAGCCCCTAATATGTTTCTACTGTCAAGAAAATTCATTGTTTCAGCATTTTATCATTTTTTCAAAGGATACTTAATACATATTCCATGTAGAAAAGTTAGAGTGCCCATAAACTAACAGAAAATGTGTCAGTTGGTCCAAATACCATCGCCTGGAAATATCACCCTCAACATGTGCCAAATGATTCTCCTTGATGTTTTTCCTCTGCATCCATGTAAAAGTTTCAGGTTTTTGTGGGGGGCAGGTTATGTGGTGGGAGCCACACCTGCTGTGCTCAGGAGTTAGTACTGGCTTTGCACTCAGGGACTACAGGGCACATGTTTTACACACTGTGCTGTCTCTCTGACCCCAATGTAAGATGGTTTTAAACCCCAAAAAATGAACTCAGATTATGCTTGCTGACTTATTTTTTATTATTTTTTTGGATCCATACTAATTCCCTCCTCTTATACCCACTATGCCACTTTTCATATTATGTCCTAAACCTACACACTGCCTTTTAAGAGAGAGAGAGTGTGTTGTGGACATTTCCTGATTTATCTACATTATATGTATTCTGGAAGATGACTGTAGCATTGTCCTCCCGTTGTTCATCAGTTTGCTCGAGCAGGCACCAGTAACGTCTCACAACAAATTGTGAGACTTATTGTTACTGTTTTTTTTGGCATATCAAATACATCGCGGGTAGCTTGCCAGGCTTTGCCATGCGGGCGAGATACTCTTGGTAGCTTGCCAGGCTCTCCGAGAGAGGCAGAGGAATCGAACCCAGGTCAGCTGCGTGCAAGGCAAATGCTCTACCCGCCGTGCTATAGCTCCAGCCCCTGGAAGATGACAGCATAGATAAATTTGGTTTTTGGATTTTTTTTTTTTTTTTGGCCACACTCAGCAATGCTTAGTATTAACTCCTGGCTTTATGCTTGGATCACTCCTGGCAGGGCTTGGGAGATGTACGGAATGCCGGGGATTGAACCAAGGTCAGCCACATGCAAGACAAGCGCCCTACCCACTATCAGTCCAGTCTCATAGAAAAGTCTGTTAAGGGTAAAATATATTTATCTAAAAAATTTATATTCTTTAACAAAATATTATCTAATAAAAATCATTTTTAAAATCATTTGTGGGAAGGGGCCTCCAAGCAGTTTTCAGGGAGCTGGAAATTCAGCTGGACCCACCTCAGTAGAGCTGGGGACCACCAGGGCCACGTACAGCAGTGCTCAGGAGCCCCCAAAGGCCACCCTGCTCAGAGGGCCCTGTGGTGCCTGGGATTGAGCTCCTAACTCATGTGTTTCCAAACTCTGAGCTCTCTTCCTGCCCCACTTAGTTCTCTTATTTTTAAACTCATGCAAGAGCCCAAAATTCACAGAGCAAACCAAGTCATCCCTCTTCTCTTTGTATTTAGACAATCACCAGACCCAGAATTAGTCTTGAAAATCTCTCTTTTTAAGAAAACCTAGTTTTAGGTTGATTACTACCTATAAGGTTGCAGAGTAGACTAAACCCCAAATCTGTTCTGCCGTGTTCCAAAAGGTTCTGTCCAGAGACGGCTGGAGCCTTGCCTGCTGGTGCTCAGTGTGCCTGTCAGGGCGGGCCAACGCGGGCTCCACATTCCTCAAACTTACTTTATTTCAAGCCTGACTTGTAGTGCCTAATGAATCATGTTGGGGTTCCTGGTTTGCATTTTGGGGAATCCCTGGGATTAGGTTTATTTTTAAGATTCCTTGGAGTTGGTGATGTGAGAAAAGAGATTCGTCCCTCAGTCAAATGATGGCATCAGTGGCAATGAGCACAGAGCTCAGAGGCCAATGTAGAATCACACTGTGCACACTCGAGAGGGGTTGTTTTTGTTCTGTTTTGGGGGCCCCATCCGTCAGTGCCTGGGAACTGTACCTGGCTCTGTGGCCCCTGGTGGTTCTCAAGGGACCAGGTATCCTGCTGGGATTTGACCCAGGATCAGCCACATGCAAAGGAAGTGCCTTCACCTCGTACTGTTTCCAGCACACTATCAAGACTTGCTGAAGAATGAGTCCGAGGCGTTTGCCTTGTACACGGTCAACTGGTTCAATCCTCGACATCCCATATGTTCCCCGAGCACTGCTCAGACTCATTCCTGAGTGCAGAGTCAGGAGTAATCCTGGAGCATCACTGGGTGTGACCCAAAAAGCCAATGAGTAAATTAATCTTTTTTTTTAAAAAAAAAAAAAAGAATGACTGTATGCTTAACACAACTTTTCAAAAATATATTTTTATTAAAATAGCACTGTGTTTTTACGATTATGATCATCCTGTTGTTTGTTGATTGCCTCGAGCAGACCCCAGTAACGTCTCCTTTGCCCTAGCCCTGAGATTTTACAAAGTGCCATATTCAAGACTCTTTCAGGGTTAGGAGAATGAGACCCATCATTGTTACTGGTATTTGGCATATTGGGTACACCACGGGGAGTTTGCCAGACTCTGCTGTGTGGGCAGATTACATTCGGTGGCCTGCCAGGTTGTCCAAAGTAAGAATGAGATAATAAGATATCCTTTTTATGTACGTATCATTTTTAATACAACTTTAACCCTTTTTGACAAAGAGTCCTCGTGAGTAGGGTTGGAGAACAGTGAACAAAGCCAGAATACTGTTTGACCCCAGAAGCAAGAAGTAAGGCCTTTACCCTTATGTCCTGCCATGGTGGACCATGGACAGGCTTTGATCAGAGTCCATCCTACAGCACAGGAATCTCTTTACCATATATGTCCCAAGTTGTGTATATTATAGATAGTCAGAGCAATGACATATAACCAGAGCACATGAGATAAAAGTCCTAAACCATGTGCATGGCTGACAAGACTCCTGTGATATGGTCCCACCTGTCTTCCATCTTCCTTCTCTCAGTGCATTGACCTGACCTTACCACCCCCAATCCACAGGTCTCAACATTCAACATTCTTAGCGACCACGTCCAGAATCCTAACCTGGGCTGTCCCATGTTCATAGCACTCCGTGCTTCTCCTCCCTTGGAACTGATGCTTATTTCAGGGATTATTCATTTGGCATCTGCTCTCTTCCAATGAAGTGTAACACCCCATGTTGGTAGACACCACATCCTGAGTCTGCCATAGAGGCATTCCATAAATGTCTGTAAGTGATTGAGAAATCTCACCTCTGCATCTTACACACTGTAGGTCTCACCTGTGTCAGTGGTTCTGGGGTCCTCACCACTCACTGTGACCTTTTGTGTCTTTTATTTCACAAGACACCCGAGTGGCTGGACAGTGATTCCTGTCAAAAGTGCGATCAGCCTTTTTTCTGGAACTTCAAGCAAATGTGGGACAATAAGAAAATTGGCCTGAGACAGGTGGGTGATCGGATGCCTTATCAGAATGTAATAGCAGAGAAACAGCTTCTGGTGATCTTACAAGGAAAGGACCCTGTGGGCGGGAGTTGTGGGGATAAGTCATTATCCTGGGGTTGCTTGTGACTGCACACTAATTTATTTGCTTTGCCTACTGTAGGTTATTCCTACTGTGTTCCGTTTCCATAGTGACCTGTTCAGGGATATGATTTTAGAATTCTAGGGGCTTCTACTAAAATGCACCTTGAAATTGGAGAGGTCAGGCTCAGCTCCTAGTGTTACCAAATCATAAGATTGTTAGAGAACTAGCCTTAATTCCTTCTTCACTTTTACTCACCCTCCTCCTCTCTTAGCCTTTGTTGTTTAGTCCAGAGTTTCTCCACCTTCCCTCACTGTGAACAGCTTCCAGTCTTGCCTTCTCCTGGTTGGCCGCTACTCTTGTGCCAGGGTCCCCCATGTATGTGATTCTTCACCTCGGTGCCCTTTGGGATATCCTGGACACCCCCCACCCAGTTGAGAAATGCTGTTGTTTTTTTTTTTTTTCATACACAGCCCTCTCAGTCAGATTCCACAGTTGGGTTTGGTGATGACACATTAGCCACCAAGCTTGAGCGTGGCCGAATTGGATACAACAGATTGAATCAGGTTTCATCCACTTTATTCAGCACAGTCTCTGCTAGGAGACGACACTTCCCGGGTCCTAAAATGACCTGACTGCGGGCTGCTTCCGTTGCAGTTCATCCTGGGAGTAACTGAAACAGCACGATGGGGGCAATGAGGAAGGGCCGGGTAGAGGTGTGTCTCAGCAGCCCTTGTTCTGGACGGAGCCCCAGAGCACAAGACCTTCAGTGTACAGGGCCCTGCCCGCTCGCTCCCACCTCCAGCTCCCTGTCTTCTCTCTGCAGCACCATTGCCGCAAGTGCGGGAAGGCCGTCTGCGGCAAATGCAGCTCCAAGCGCTCCTCCATCCCGCGGATGGGCTTCGAGTTTGAAGTGCGGGTGTGTGACAGCTGCCACGAGGCCATCACGGATGAAGAGTAAGTCCCAGGGGTTGAGACTGTGCCTGTGCCCAACACCCCCACGCCCCGCAAGTAGTACCCCCCTCTGGGTTGAAGACCATTCTCTGGTTTCTCATCAGAGCATCTAAATCTTTTGCCTTTCTTAAAAAAAAAATTTTTTTTTTTTAGACAGAGCAAACAGGCAAAGCCATCCCTTCCCCCCAGAGAACTGGTTTCTCCTGTGAGGTCAAGGAGAAAGAGCACATGAAGAAGATGAGTCCATTCTTCTCTAGCCCAGAGGCTGTGCACTGAACGCGGATGATCGAACCCATACTGGAGTGTGGGAGCCCCAGCTAGTGTCTCTGGAGGAACTGCAAGCAGGCCACAGAGTCGGGCAAAGTCAGGCTACTTTCAGGCAGGAAGTTTCTGTTTCCAGGAAGCCTGAATCCCATCCTTGAAGCAGATGAGTCCAGTAGCTCAGCCGCTCCATCTGGCTGGTCCTGTCTGGCCTGCCTACGGCCCCAGGGCCTGGACTACTGCTCCACTTTGTAGAGGTGGGGCTGATCTGTGTGGCCCCTTGTGTGCTGGCCATTTGCAGGCCGCCCCAGATGTCCACGGGATGCCCTGGAGCAAGATTCCCTGTTAGTGGCCGCCAGTCAGGTCCCATAGGAACGCCTGGTGAGCCTCGGTCATCAGCCTCAGCACCTTGAGTGCGCCAGACGAGCATCTTCTGTGGGAAATTACGGGAGTGAAGCTTTAGCATGTGATGCCCAGGTGTGGGGGAGCTTTCAGAATTCTTAGGTATTCACACCCAACCTAAAAGACTTCCTCAAGTATTTACCAGCTGTAAATCTGTGATGGGACTTAATGAATCTTCATCAAATTGGAGAGCTGCAAGGAACTTGCGAGACGTTCTGGCCGAATTCCTTATTTCTGGGATAAGAGCACAGACACTGAGCGCGTACGTGACTCTTCAGTAAAACCAAAGTCGTTCTCAGTGTCGTAAAGCAGTTGCTTCTGTTAAACCACAGAGCACTGCTCGCCAGAGCTCACTGTGGGGAGGAAAGGAGAAAGGCGCTTCCAGCAGGGGCAGAGGGCGACAAGCTCTCTACACTGCTGCTGCCTCTGCTGCTTCCCGGTTTGGCCTCCAGCAGTGTGGGGCTGACCCGCACACACACACACACACACACAGTGCTCTGCTAAGCCGCTGTCCTGCTGCATTTTCCCTGTGAAAGCATCTGCCATCGGCAGTTTAGTGGCTTTCTTACTAAAAGAACTGCAGACTTCAAACAATACAAGACAAATAACGATGTTTATTGACACATTTTTCTACTTCTGAAAAGCATTAGCATGTCACAGAACACTGAGGCTGCAGTTACGCTCTGTGAGAAGAGGAGAAAGGCGGACCCCGCTTTCTAACAGGCCCGGAGCGTTCAGTGAACACACCCTGGTGCTTCTTAAGGAAGGGGCAGCGCCTCACCAGCTCTTCTTTCGGGCTCCAGGCCTCGTCTTTACAGGGCTGGAAGCTAACCTGCACTGCAGGTTTTGATAAATATTTTTCAAACTGTCAAGGGCCAGGACATGGCTCGCGCGGTAGAGTGTGTGCCAAGCATGTGTGACACCCTGGGCTTGGTGCCTAGAAACTTTCTCCTTACTGGAAATTGAAAGTAGCTCTCAGGAGAATTTTGAACTGTGAACCATTTCACTAAAAATTCAGTGCTAATATGACCCTAGGATATCATCATTCATATTCAGTACCTTCCCCCCCCCTCCGCCGCCTCAATTTTAAAAATTGAATCACTGTGAGATGCAGTTACGAAGTTTTCATGATTGAGTTTCAGTCGTACAATTTTCCAACACCCATCCCTTCTTCATCAGTGTACATTTCCCACCACTGGTGTCCCTCCTGCCCCCTCACCAGTCTGTCCCTATGACGGGCACTTTTCCCTCTCCTCTCCTCTCCCCTCCCTTTCTCCACTTCTCCCCCCTCTCCTCCCCACCCTTTTAGGCACTGTGGTGGGAAATGTACAATGATGAAGGGATGGTGTACATTGTACACTGTGGTTTGCAATACTGTTACCAAAAGGTTATCATGCATGTCGCTTTATCTCCTTTCCGCACCTAGTTCTTGTACAGAATGATTACTTCCAACTATCATTGTTATAGCGGTCCCTTCTCTGTCCTAACTGCCCTCCCCTACTGTGACAAGCTTCAACCATGGACCAGTCCTCCTGGACCTCATGTCTACTGTCTTTGGCAATATATATGTATGTACACACGCACACACACACACACACACACACACACACACACACACACATATGTAGCACTGTAGCACTGTAGCACTGTCCTCCTGTAGTTCGTTGATTTGCTCAAGCGGGCACCAGTAACGTCTCCATTGTAAGACTTGTTGTTACTGTGTTTGGCATATCGAATACGCTACGGGGAGCTTGCCAGGCTCTGCCATGCTAGCAGATACTCTTGGTAGTTTGCCGGACTCTCTGAGAGGGATGGAGGAATTGAACCTGGGTCAGCTGCATGCAAGGCAAATGCCTTACCTGCTGTGCTGTCGCTCCAGCCCATATATGTGTGTGTGTATGTATGTGTGTGTGTGTGTGTATTATATATTATATATATTCTGCAAGTGAGTGCTATAATTCTATGTCCTTCTCCCTCTGACTCATTTCCCTCAGCATGATGCTCTCCATGTCCATCCATGTTTCAGCAAATTTCATGACTTCGTTTTTTCTAACTGCTGTGTAGTGTCCACTGTGTACATATTTTGTACCTTTACTCTTGAAATGTCCTTGTTCCCGCAGACGTGCCCCTACCGCCACGTTCCACGACAGCAAGCATAACATCGTGCATGTGCACTTTGATGCCACGAGAGGGTGGTTGCTAACTTCCGGGACTGACAAGGTTATCAAGGTAGGACGGCCCCTTTCCAAACTCCCTCCAGACACCATATTATTAGTAGGACACATTGTTTTGACTTATTTATGTAAGAAATGAACACCATGTAGGCTGATTCACAGCCACCTCTTCACAGACTTACAGTTTATTTCCCTGTGACTTGAAAGATTGCGTTGATGGTAACTTGAAAGAGTGACCCTAGCATCTGTCAGATATACACTGCAGTATTAGTAACTCTAGTCTGTTTGTTGTGCATGACCACCTTCACCGATTTTGCTGGTCCTCCACCCAGCCACCCACCCTTCCCACCACCACCCCCAGGCACCAATCTGTGATCTGTGGGTTTGAGGGTGGTTGGTTTTTTTTTTTTTTTGGTGGTGGTGGTGGTGGTTTGTCTTTGGATTCCACGTGTAAGCAAGATTCGACAGTATTGGTCTTGTCTTTGACTTATTTCCAGTCACATAACACCTTCAGAAACCATCCATGCAATTGTAAATGGCTAGATTTCCTTTCTGATGGCAGAACAGCCTTTGATTATACACATTCCACATTTTCTTTATCCAGAGATGGATTCTTTGGTGGCTTCCATGTCTTGGCTATTGTAAATCATGCTTCAGTGAACATGGCCTTTAGGTATCTTTTGTGTATGTGTTGGGGGTGGGGGCCACACCAGGCAGTGCTCAGGGGCAGCTCCATAGTTGGTGCTCACTCCCAGCGATTCTCAGGGAACCATTCAGTGCTGGGGATCAATCCAGAGCTTGTGCTCACCCTGCCGAGCTCTCTCTCCGGCCTGCAGATATCTTTTTAAGTTCGTGTTTTCATTTCCTTCAGATAAATACCCATACGTAGAATTGCTGGGTACTGTGGTAGTTCTGCTTTTAACTTTTTGAAGCACTGGTGATGGTACCAGTGAATGTTCCCACCGACAGCACACAGGGCTCCAGACCTCCTCGTCCATGCAGAGGCTTACTGTCCTGATAACCAGTAGTCACCAGTTCACATGCATGGTGGTTTTTGACTTGCAACTCCCTGCTGATGACCAATGTCAGGCACCTCCCATGTGCCTATTGCTGATCTGTATGTCTTCTTTGGGAAAATGTCTATTTAGCCCCTCCCTCTCTTGGCAGGGGCTGGAGGGTGGGGTAAGGGAGGGTGCTCTGAGCCTCCAGGATTGGTCCCATTAGTGCAGGGTGTTGAGGGAGATCAAGCTCAGGGCCTGGCACTTTATAGGCAAGTGCTCCAACTCATCCAAGCCCTCTGCTCTCCTTTGCTTCATTCTATTTCAGGGCATTTTACTTTGCTTTGTCTGAAGGTGAAGGGATCTCCCGGGCAGTGCCCTGTGGGCCAGTCCTGGTGGTACCTGGCCTGCCTGATTGCACAGTGTGGGACCTGGTGGCTACCAAGGTTACCGGCCATGCTGGGGGTCAAACTAGCCTTGTACATGCAAGGCATGTGTCCCCTCACCCCCAAAACATCTTCCCAGCCCTTCTTCCTGGGGGAACTAGAGGTGCAGGGATCCAACCCATGGTTCCTACCCTTTGGTCTCCAGCCCTACCCAGTTTTTAAATTGGGCAGAGGGGTTGTTTGTGTTTTGTTTTTGCTGTTACTGTACTATTTTTCTCTTTTTTACTTTGCCAGTACTGTACATACAATTACTGTACATACTGTTGACCTATGTGAGTCATTGATGACTTTTTTTTTACTTAATTTTTTATTAGTGAAACACCATGAGGTACAGTTGTAGACTTACAAGTTTTTGTGCATGGGTTTCAATTATACGATGATCGAATACCCATCCCTCCACCAGTGCCCATTTCCCACCACCACGGGTCCCAGTAGCCCTCCCCCCCCCCAGTCTCCCCATCCCACCCTACCTCTGTGGCAGGGCATTCCCTTTTGTTATCTCTCTCCTTTTGAGTACTGTGGTTTGCAAAAGAGACATTGAGTGGCAATCATGTTCGGTCTATAGTCTTCTTTCAGCATATTTCTCCCATCCTGGGCGGATCTTCCCAACACCCTTTATTTGGTGCTCCCTTCTCTATCTGAGCTGCCTATCTGAAAAGTAACAAAATAGGAGACTAACACCCAAGAATAGCCGAGATAAGTACCAGGAGGATTACTCCATGACTTTGAGGACAGCAGCACACGCTAGGGGAAAAGGCAGCTCATTGATGACTTTTGGTGTTTATCCTTTTCAGATAGGATTTGCAAATACATTTTCCTGTACTGTAGGTCGCCTTTTCATTGTGTTGGGTGTTTCTTTATTGTGCAGCTTCTGAGTTTGATTTCGAATACCAGCTGACTTCAGAAGCTTTCCCACCTGTGGCCTTTTGGAGACGCAGGAGCAGGAGTCTGTTCCTGGGCTAGCCTGGGCGCTGAGCCACTTGGAGCACCTGTTCCTTTCAAAGCCCCATGCTAGGCACTAGCTGTACACAACCAAATAGGATGTGGCTGCTTTCTACAGGAAATAGCTAGTCTAGTGGGAACAATAAACTGTCCCTTAAAAATTAGATCCACATTTTGTGCCAGAGAGATAACCCAGGAGGTAAGGTGCTTGCTTTGTACCTGGCCAAACCTGGTTCTATTGCTGGCACCACAGTTGGTCCACTGAGCATCTCCAGGTATGTCCCGATAAGCCTCCCACCATGGCGCAGAAATTTAAAATTGAATCCCGGTTAATGTGGGGGGGTTTTGAGGGTGATGGCGGGTGGGGGATGTGTCACACCCAGCAACGTTCATGGGTTACTCCTGGTTTTGCACCAGGAATCACTCCTGGTGGTGCTCGGGGAATTGTATGGGATGCTGGGAATCGAACCTGGGTCAGTGGTGTGCAAGGCAAATGCCTCACCTGCTGTACTATCACTGCAGCCCCTAGATTAACTTTTTAAAAGACAGCTGACGATAGGTTATTGGTGCTGTGGTCAAAGAGTACTCCAGACAAGCATTGCTTTCCAGAGTAAGAGATGGTGCTCCTGGGGAGTCATGGAGGCAGTGGGGCTTGAGTCTTTATCAAGAGGCAGGACTCGAATAAGCCAGCAGGTAATAAACATAATCTTTTCCCGGTGAGATCAATTATTCCAGACTTATCCCTGAAGGGCCTTGCTAAGGACTCTGGATGCAGTACCACAGCAGGGGCTCAAGCCAGGAGGGCCACAGCTGCGCCATTCCTAAAGAAACACCGAACACAGGCTGCACTGAGAAAGCACTTCCCAGGCCTATTCTGGTCCATTCTTGGAAGCAGAGGGAGGCACTTAAAATAGCCCCTTTGGGAGCTTCCAGGCCTCTGAGCTCGTTTAAAGTAAACGAGGAGCCTAGGTGCCTTTGTATTGTGAACATGAAGTCACTTGTAGAACTATTTGGAAAATAAATAAGCCACAGAAGGATGCACCACGCCCGTGGTGACCCATCTGGTGCCTACTGTGTATTAGATTACCCCCCCCCCCACACACACACACACACCCTCCCCACTGAGCAAATCTAAGCTGCGACATTATTCCCCTTTAGCTGGATTATATTTTCCAAGTGCCATTGTCTTGTCTTCGAGGTGTATGCTCAACTTTTTAATGGAGAAATGCTACTTCATTTCTTCAGCTCACTTGTTCCTGTGCTGTGTGGTAGTGCGCTAAATCAAGAAGTTCTCTTGAGTTCAGTTCTCAGGACTGCATGCAGTTTGATTTTCATTCATCGTATTCCTCTTTTTGACAGTTGTGGGATATGACCCCAGTGGTGTCTTGATGAATCAGAAAGATAGCATCTCCTCAAGAAACGTTCGATCCATCCAAATCATTACCGGAGCTGTAAGAGACGCCGGAGAAGTGAGAGAAGGACCTGCCTTAGTTTGCGTTACCTGCGCACACGTGAGCTCGTGAGCGACCACTCCTGAGGGAACTCTTTCAACCTGTTCATACAATATCAAAGAAGATATTTTTTTAACAAATGGTTTATACGGTCTGGCTGTGCTTCGTTGTTTTGAGTATACTGAAAACCCAGCGTGGGATGTTTCGTTTTTCTGTTTTTCGGCGCTTCATTTTGCCTGTGCCCTGTGTGTTGGAGGGATGAGGGCAGAGTCTGTCTGGGGGATTTGGGGTCGTTATAAAAGTGTTTCCATGTGTTCTTTGCTTCGGCAGGAATCTCATCAGCGTCTTTCTCTCTAGCTCCCCTCCCCTTCCTCTGCCGTTCTTCCAAGTGTATTTCCTCCTCTCATCCACAGTGTTTCTGCTTTTATACAAACCCTCAACTTCGAGGTGTAGAAAACGGTTTTTGTGGATTTACCAACTGACTTCTTGAGTCGTGCCAAGAATGATTTGCTTATAGCGTCTCGCCCCTTCATGTTCCCTTCGGGTAGAGATGACCTGTGTCTGTCAGCTTGCTGTCTTCCCCACTGAAAGAAACAGAACAGGCTGGCCTGAGATCGGCCTCACAGACGCAGCTAGTCGGAACTCAGCGCCTTGGCCCTCAGTGCCTGGATCCTTTTTAGTTCAGTTGGGCCTTCGGCGTCCTTTCTGTTTTAGTGTTACTGACTCGGCTCTTCCTCACTCATGATAATAGAAAGAAAATGAGAAGCAAAAATCGGTCCTTCACCACACGTTGCTAAGATGTGTTTTTCCATGTGGCGTCTCCTCTGACCTTGAATGTGTTAGTGACAGCAAGATTGTATGCTGCTCTCCTCACCTTCTGTGTTTGGTCCCCTTTCAAAGCTAGATATTAAAGATTTTTATCTTAATGTATTTTTATTGGAACACTTTGCACATTTTCATACTTAAAAAAATGTGATTTCAGGCTAAGGGTACTGACTTCGATAGTTTATGCTCTGTTCCTATTGGAAATATTTTTGTTTTCATAAGTGAACCTGAAGAACTCTCATCTTAAGGGAATCCAGGCACACCTGATAAAGTGAAATATTGTCACGTATAGTGACTCAGCTTGGGAATATGGAAATCTTTGGTTTTGGATTTGGCTTGTTTTCCTGGTGGTCCCAGGGATCGAGCCCAGGTTTGCTGCAGGCAAGGCATCCCTCTGCAGCTGAGCAACACCTCTGGCCCCAGACGTTCTTTTAATATAACCTGATTTTCAGTCCAGAGAGAGAGAAAACTCAGCCTGCTGGAGTACATGCTTTGTCTGCTGGACCCTGAGTTTAATCCCCGAAGCATCATCAGGAGTGACCCCAAGCACTAGGGAGTAGCCCTGAGCACTGCCAGGTGTACCAAAAACAAAAACCAGTTTTTCAAGTTCTTATTTTCACCTGTAGCTCGAATTAGGGCATGCATGCACTAATAACCCACCCCATCCTCCACACATCACAGGTGCTGTCTCCCTAGGCCTCACCCGTCAGGAGCAGTAGTGCATCACGGATCCTTTATGGGTCATCAGAGTACATCAAGACTGGCAAATGAACAAGCCAGTCACTTGCCCTTCCCCATACAAACCCTACCTCTGCGTATAAACTCCAATTTGACAACTTTTGGGTAGTAGTCTTAAAAAATCCTAATTTTTCTTGGAAAGCAGTACCCCTCCCTGCACCCCTCCCCTACCCCCCATCCTTAACCCCACCACCACCCACACACACACACACACAACATGATCATTCATTTCTTTCCAAGCTAGAGCATTCCCACCAGCCAGACTTGGTCACACTCCTACCCATCCCTAGTGTGTACCCTGGGCACGGAGCTTGCTAGAAAAGATTCTGTTGCTGTAGTGTTAGGAAACAGAACCAGTGGATGTGGCCCTGCAGCCACAGCACAGGACAGCTGCCACCTGTGACAGCAGGCCACATCCGGGTGCCTGCGGGAACGTGCACTCATGGGAGCACGCATGGGAGCAGATGCCCATCATCTAACTGCCCCCCTTCCCCACTCCCCTTGCTTCCGTCAGCGAGAGCTGCTATGGATCGAATCTGAATCTTTTCTGAATGATTGCTCCCTAAGAGACCTCCAAAAGGGAATTCAATTTAAAAGACTCAAATCGCTGTTTTGTGGTATTACTAGAATCTGCAGCCACTTTCTGAGTTGCATATAATAGAGAACTGTGTGTGGAAATGAGTCATAAATAATGAATCACTCTTTTCCCTTTCCTGAGCCTTGGAGCTTGGCGTCTGTAGACAGACAAAAAGATAGGGGGTGGACAGTGAATCAGGGACCCAGCAAACCTAGCTGGGATTTGGACCCATGTTCAGGAAGCCGGTTCCCTCGTTGGCTCGCTTGTGCTCTGTGGTCCTTCTGGTCTGTAACCTTGCACTTGGCTCTTTCCACCTCCGTCCCAACGTGCCTGACCCCAGCCCCCAGAGCCACTCAGAGGTTGAAATCACTGACACCTCCCTGGTGGTGAAGGTCATGGTGCAAAACCACAGACCCATCAGGTTGTCCACTGCTGTTGCCCTTTTGTTTCTCATCTGTACCGGGCGCTTGACTTCGATGACAAGTGCTTACAAGTCACCCCGTGTGTCTAATGCTGTTGGTTCTTGACTTCCTACCAAGTGTCTTCATTTTTGTAACACTCGCTGGGTGTCTGCCAAGCGTTTTATGGAATGGAGGCTTCATTCATTAGTGTGAACGAACGCTGGCCCCAGCACTTGGCTTTTTTCCTTTCTAGGTTTTACTACCAGAGTTGTTCTACCCTCACTGGATTTGCACTTTACTTGTATTTTTGCTCTGTTGCTTCCGTAGACCGACACTTTGGCGAGAATGCCATGCAAGCCTCTGCAGGGAAAGTGGGCACACGGCACCTTTTGTGCAAAGAGGCGCTTTTCAGTAGTAAAACTAAGCACATGACCTTGGTTTCTCCAAAGAACTGGTGCGACTGGAACCTTTAACTGCCGGGGTATATCTGCACTCACAAAAGTGGCTTGTAGATTCCCTGGCATCGTGTGTCTTTTGATACCATGTCACTCCCCCAATGGATGTATCATCTGATTGAATGAATTATTCAAAGGATCTTAAAAATCTCAAAACTGGAAAGGAGCCTCAGAGATCTAGAATGTTCCAAAGCACAGAACACTTTAGTCTTAGCAGTTGGGTAGAGTTAGCTGAGGTATAAACAAGAGATTCTGAAAGTGAAATTTTCAAGGAACAGTTGTTTTTCACCATTAACAGTAATGGTCTGGAAATGGGAGGAAAGCCCCCAGCACCTTGAGACAGGGTGCCCTGCAGGATGCCACTTTGTCCCTTTGTCATCAGCCCAGCTGACTCCAGCTAGGCCCTGAGATGCGAGTGGCAGGTCCCTGTGAGGTAGGTCTTCAGCAGAGACTAGGACCTACATGCCACGAAACGCACCTTGCCCTGTTTAAAGTCTGGCCTTGAGAAAGGGGGTGGGGGAGGGAGCCTCTGTGCCTCTAGCCCTGACCTCATGGAATATCCCCTTTCCAGAGATGGAAATTTCTTTTTAAAGGCAGGGTTCGCTTTTGCTTGACATGAGTCCATTTGTAAAGCCTGAAGTTTGACTTAGAAGTTTTCATTTCTTTGGTTTGCCATTTCCATAGTCGATGTATGTAACTTTGTTCACCACAATTTCTGCTTTAGAGGAAAAGGAGGCATCTTGGGAAAATGTTCTTCTCTCCTCTCTTTGAAATTGGGTTCTGCTTTAATTTTTTCCTGACGGGAAGGCAGGCGCCTCGCAGCCTGAGTGGGAGACAGCAATGCATCTGGGATGCTGCCTGCGCTGGCCCGCCCCGAGACCCCTCCCCGTGTCCCTGTCATGCTCACCATATGCCAGTAAAGTCCCTGCCTGGGCAGAGGCTACAGATAGGCAGATGGATTGTTTCAGTACCAGGGGAGAAGTTCAATGGTGGAGTGTCTGGGACCCTGTCCAGTGGGGTCCCATCAGCCCAGCGGTTGTGCTGGGGGGTTTTCACTGAGAAAGGACTTCCCACCTGAGTGTTGAAAGATGAGCTGGAGTTGATAGTGTGAGCAGAAAGGGAGGGGAAATAAAAAGGTTCACAGACTGGAGAGATAACACTTGGGTTAAGGCACCCGCCCAGCATGTGGCTGACTCCTGTTCCATCCCTGGCACCACATTGGTCCCCTGAGAACCACCAGGAGCAATCCCTGAGCCCGGGGCCAGGAATAAGCCCTTAGCACCAACAAGTGTGCCGCCTCCCCCTCCCAGTAAGACCCAGGGTCGTAATCAGGGGCCCAGTGGCTGGGTGTCCCCTCGGCTCGAGAGCCCGACTGCGAGGCCTGGAGCCTGATCCCCGGAACCTGGCACTTGGGTGCCCATGGCCGCAGGGGGAGGCCACATACACCACACCTGGGCATTGGCTCAGAAACTCATCAAAGTTTTGTGGCACCAAGGCTATCAGATACTTTAGAATTGTTCTCTTAGGTGATGCAAGGTCACCCCATTCTGCTCTCAGTAGGCCCCTCACTGGGCTCTTTGTGGTGGGTTCCTACAGGCCTTTGCTTGTGCAGCCAACAGCAACTCTGCCGCACAGATTCCCTGATCCATGGGCGGGTTGGTCTCAGCTGCTTGCTCCCTTTGTGGGAAGGAATGCAGGGGAGAGTGTTGCGGACAGCTGTGGGCTTGCATCGGCACAAGGCTTTCCTGCACACAGCAGGCGGCCGCAGCCCTCTTTGTCCTTCTCAACCTCACACTGGTCTTGCCAGTGACGGGTCATTTCAGTACAGCACAGCAGATGCACTAAGCCTTCATGACAGGGGCACTCACCAAAGGGAAAGGAGCAAAAGTTGTTCTCTATACGGGGACACTAAAAAGGGCCCAGGCAGCTCCTGGGAATCCCAGCCCATCCAGAAGAGCACCACAGATCTTGGTTGGCTCTTGTCTGCTGTTACACCCATTTGCCTTTTCTTTGAATGCCCAAGTGGCATCATCCTCATCACTTAATTCAGGAACATCCATGTTCATTGGTAAGCGTTAGTGCAGCTTTACAACCAAGAACTCGACCACTCCTCAGGGTTTGCTCCTAATTTTGCCTTTAAACATTATCCCTTTCACCAAGTAGCCTAGAAATCTGACAGAAATCGGGCTGGGATTCTTCCTTTGTGTGTCCTGTGTTCCCCACACCGTGTCAGAGACATGGAAAGGAAGTTCAGGCCATGAGCCAGGGATGAATTTGAGGATCCTTCTTCAGTCCTGTGATCTCACACACACACACACACACACACACACACACACACAAACATGGAAAGGAAGTTCAGGCCATGAGCCAGGGTTGAATTTGAGGATCCTTCTTCAGTCCTGTGATCACACACACACACACACACACACACACACACACACACACACACACACACAGCTGCCTGAACTCTGCTCTCACATATCTATAGTGTCTTCGTCTCCGGGGCGTGAGTTGCTTTCTTCCTTTCCTGCCCAGCACCTCGAAGGTTTGCAAAAGATGGTGAAGGAGGAAGTTTGTGTTATGGTACCACCTCCTTAAAAACAAAATACCTCAGAGTGTTCACCTTTGTGAGTCAAAAAGTGGATCTGACTTTCTTGGGCGAGAAGGTGTTAAGGAATTGCAGTTGGACTTAAAAGTCCGATTTAGAATCAGAGCTTGATATTTTTATGTGATTCTTTTCATTTTCTGTCTTGGTTCTCAGGGACTCGTGAGAAGGTGGCTTATAATCAAAAAGGGGAAAAGGTGCCTGTTTTCTTTAAGTATTTCATATATATACACTTTCCCCCCATTTTGGTGAATGGCAGCCGTATGTCAGTAACGTACATGCCCAGTGAACTACGGACCAAAATCCTCATGTCACCAATGACCTCCGTGCTCATTTGTTTTATGTAAGTGACTTTCTTCTAGCCTACTGTCATTTTGCAAAAGAGAGCCCTTATGTGAGAAGAACAAAAACTGTTTCGAACTGGACAGCAGGCAGGGGCGGTGCTGGCCCCTCGTGCCTGCTCCCACCGCGTTCCTAACCCGGGACCAGCCGCCGCTGTTCTCCACGCTGCCCTCTGAGCCTGCCGGAGCAGGCCTGTTGCTCTAGGGTACCATTCTCATTCTTCTTTGGAAACGAGACTCTGAGGGCTGAGAATGGCACGAGCCTCAAGTTGGAACAGATTTCTCTGATGTGAACCTTTATGCAGTGGACTGTCCCTCCTGGCCTCACCTCACCAACCTGTCCTGCCATTGACTTCCTGAATGTGACCGGGGGGAGGAGGCTGTCCTCCAGGGGTCAGATGTCTGTATCTGGTTCTTTGGTCAGATGCTGCTGGATGCTGGGAATGTGCTGGAACCTCCCTCCCACTGTGCTTCCTGAGCTGAAATGTATGTGTAACCATCCCTGTGTCCAAAACGCTCCCTGCAATGTTGCCTCTGGGGCTTAAAATAAATCTCTGGAAACCTCCGGCTGGTGTGGCTCCATCCTTGCAGTCAGGCCGTAATGTGTGACCACAGGACACGACAGCCCAGTCCTGGGGTCAGGGGGATGGAAAGGGGCTGGCCGCAGAGAGCACTGGAGTCTGGAGTCGGAGAGGAGCAGCCATTTCTTCTGCCTTGAAGCACAGCAAGGGGACCGGCCGTGTAGGCCTTGTGGTGTCTGCTTTCCGTTTCTGTTTCTAAGCTCCACTTACCTGAGTCAGTGAACTTCCCAAATAGACTAAGTCTTGGGGACTTGACACTCAGGAAAGGTCTCTCTAAAAATCGCCCCTTATTTTATGGATCAGACCAGTGACCACACAGTGTGGAACAGTGTCCCATCCCCCCATTCCACGCCCCCCACATTGTTACTATGTGTCCCCCTTGGGGCCCACCTGCGCCTGCACAGCCCGAGACCCCCACATTCCTCCTTGAGAGGGACATTCTAGGTGCCACACCCAGGAGCCTTTCCTAGGCACTCCTTGGCTGAGCACAGGGATCTCAGTGTCTGCAAGGAAGCTGGCAGGGGATCCCTTCCACCCCACCTTGGGACAGGTGGGGCAGTGTCCTTGAACACCAGTGCACTTACAGTTCCATTCTTTTTTTCTCCTTTTTGGGTCACACCCAGCAATGCACAGGGATTACCCCTGGCTCTGCACTCAGGAATCACTCCTGGCGGTTCTCGGGGGACCATATGGGATGCTAGGAATTGAACCCGTGTCAGCCGCGTGCAAGGCAAATACCCTACCTGCTGTGCTATTGCTCCAGCCCCGACATACAGTTCCATTCTAAACCCGCTTGTCGGTTTTGTTCCAAGAGGTGAAATGTATGTGTAACCATCCCTGTGTCCAAAACACTCCCTGCAATGTTCCAACTGTGGGTGGTGCGTGATCAGGGTCCCTCCCGGCCTTACGCAGATACAGCTCGGCCTCATGCCACCCTGCCACTCCTTCCGGGACACGGGACAGCCCCCACTACAGAAGCCCAGGCAGCAAAGTGGGCCCTGTCTGCTCCCACCCTTCCTTTTGACAGTGACCGTAGCTGTCCAGTTTTTAAGGCGATCGCACTTACAGGCACGGAAAGGAAGCCTGTCCCAGCCCCAGCGAATCCATTTATTCCCAGACAGCTTCCGGCTCCTCTTAACAGAGGAGGCGTCACAGCCGCCCTCTGCCCGGGCGCTGCTGCTTGGGTTCTTCGAGGCGCGAGTCTGACCCGTGTGGGCCCGGCCTGGCCTATTTAAATCTCTGAGCCATCTCTTCCAGGATCTCCATGAGTTTCTCCTCTTCTGTCGGCGAGCAGGAGGTTCTCGCAAGAGGTAAGTGTTTGGGAACTGGTTTCCGATCTACGGTGAGGAGAGCAAAGATGTGAGCAGGGCGACTGCAGGCGCTGCCTTGGCCCGTGGTTCCCGGCCATGGCACGGCAGAGAGGGGCCACACCAGGGACCCAGATGCCCTCTGGAAAATGGGGGGGCGAAGGTGGGGGTAGGAGCAGGCAGGTGAGGAAGTACTCTGACTTCACCCCAACATCGTCAGCTCCCCACCAGCCCATGCCTAGTGGGCAGTGATCCTGGGGAAGGAGGGGTCAGAGCCAGAGGGTGTCTCGGGTTGGGCCCTGCGTGTACTGACCAGTCAGAGCCTCAAGCATCCCAGAGGTAGCACTGAAGGCTGCCTGGGATCCCCCACACCACAGGGCCCGTGTAGCACCACACCCTTTAGGGGGCCCAGAAGAGGCAGAACCATGGGAAGAGAACCTGAAGCATAGCTCTGGGCTTGCCTCACTGCCCTCGGGTCCCTGTGACGGAGAAGCCAGCTGGCCTCCTCCTCAGAACTCGCCCCTCCCGGAAGGGGGAAGCAGGGGGGTCCCCACTGCCACCCGAGTGTCCCGTCGAGCAAGGTCCGCCCCAAGAGCCCCAACTGGAGCCGAAGGCAGTTGGGGGGGTAGGGGAGTGTGGCTACCCTGGGCCCAGGAGTCACCTTGGAAGAAGAGGCCGCTGGGCTGCTTGGAGGCGGCGGCAGCCAGTGCCAACCATAACACAGTGTCCGCCCCCTGTGCCGCCGTGCGCAGCCTGTCCTTGAACTTGGCGTGGAACCCTGGCATGGCTCGCCTCACGCCTGCAGGGAGGGAAGACAAGGGGACACGGTGGGGGCTGGGGTGGGCACAAGTTGAAGACAGGACACAGATGAGGACAGGGACATGGGTGAGGACGGGGACATGGTGGCGAGGACGGGACGCGGGTGGGGAGGAGAGGACGTGGGTCGGGAGGATGGGGACACTGGTGAGGACAGAGATCAGGGTCACGGGTGAAGAGGACAGAGGTTGGGGACACGGGTGAAGGGGACCTCAAGCACATTTCACACCAAGTGCTGAGGTGATGGCAGTGCCTGGAGATGGAGTGGAGCACTCAGGCTCTTCCTACTCTCAGGGAGCAGGAGGTCGGACACAGTTGCTGCTCAAGCAGGGCCCATGAACGGTCCCCCAGGCTGTCCTCTCCAGTGAGGCCACAGGAGACTCACCTCAGGACTCAGTGCCAGTGAACGCCATCCCCTGAGGGCCCAGCCTCCCTGAGGCTCAAGGCTCCCTGGCTGCTCTGGAGTTTTCTTCTGCTGCAGGAGAGAGTGCGGCTGCCTCTGGCCGGCCCCCGCCTCGCGCTCTGCATCCTGGGGTGCGAGGGCTGCTCCGCAGAGGGCCTCACTCTATTTGTTCTCACACATAGCTGCCACACCTGCACCCACGCCCCAGGCCTGGGGACAGAGGATCTCTAAATGTGCCCTCGAATGATGCAAATGTTTCTCATGAACTGCCTTCCAGAGAGTGGCCCCAGTCAGGTCCTCCTGGAAGTGCTCACTGCCCTGGGTGCTACCTTCCCCTTCAGTCTGTGTCACAGTTCCGTACCCCTGGAAGTGCTCACTGCCCTGGTTGCTACCTTCCCCTTCAGTCTGTGTCACAGTTCCAGCCTGGGCAGACCTGCCCCTGGGTCCAGGTGAGTCACAGGCACAGCCAGGGCTGAGGGAAGGAGTTGCTGCCTGAGACATGAGTGGGGCAGGGGCAGCCTGCAGGGACCCTTCACTCTCCCTCCTGCACCCCAGGAGCTTTGCAATCACCCCACTCGTCTCTTTCACCTCCATGAAACTTGTATCTCCTCAGCCCCAGGCATTGGGGAGGCAGCCTGGGTCCCCTCCGTGGATGTCCCTAGTCATTCGTCCTCCTGGGGTGGGGGCATGTGTTGTCCCCCTGAACCAGGGGAGCCTGGTGCTGCCACAACCCAGCACAGAGCAGAGCAAGCCAGCTGCTCCCCACATCCACCAGAAACTCAAGATTTCCCCCCTCACCGCCCCCCACCCCCACCCTACTCTCGACTGGAATGCAGGAGAGCCGGTATTTTCAGAGGAACCCAGGGAAGATGCTGGGGAATTAGGGCCTCCCACATACCTGGGGTGTCAGCCCAGCCAGGATGCATGGACGAGAAGTGGATGGAGGGGTGCACGCGGGCCCACTGCTCCGTCATAACCACCTGCTGCCTCTGCGGGGGGGGGAGGGGAAGAGCACTCAGCGGGGGGCATTTCCACAGTCTTCAGGGCTGGTGCTGTGACTTGAGTGACCACCAAGAGCCACCTACAGCTGCCTAGACTTCCTGAGCCGCACACACCCACTCCCCACCCACTCTGCCCCACGGGGTCCAAATCCTCCTCTTCCGCAAGTCACACACTCCCCAGACCAGGCAGGCTGGAGGTGGGCAGAGCCACCCCTCACCAGCTGCCACCCCATGTCCCCGCCGTGTCCTGGGAGCACATCCTAGCATGTGGACGCAGTCTGCCCGGCCCGGAGTAGCGTGCTCGCTGTGCTTCCAGGACGTGGTGGGTGGTAAGTGACCCTCCTCTCACGGAGACCCACACTCTGATCATGCCATGCTGAGGACCCCTCTGCAACTCCAGCCTGAGCATTGAGGGGCTCATCCCGTACTGCAGCATAATCCCCGATAACCTTGGGGTCTTGCTCAGGAGAAGCAAGCCATAGGATTTTGCGAGAGAGTCAGTGAGCAAAAGTGGGGCAGTCCCAGGGGACACAGGAGATGGGACTCCCCGCTGAGGGGGATGAGATGAGGGCGTGTCACTTCATTTCACAATGAAATGAGGAAGCTCAGTCCAGTGAGGAAAGGGCCAAACCGGCTTCTTTTTCTTTCGTTTTTTTTTTTGGGGGGGGGGGGCACACCACCTGGCAGTACTCACGACTTACTCCTGGCTCTGCACTCAGGAATCACGCCTGGTGGTGCTCAGGAGACCATATGGGCACTGGGAATCGAACCCAGGTCAGGCGCATGCAAGGCAAGTGCCGTAGTACCCACTGGACTATCTCCAGTCCTCGAGTTGGCCTTTTAAAAGGGAGCCAGGCAGGAAGTGCGGCTCTGCTATGGTCCACTTACCTTCTACCCCTGACGTGGCCAAACAGATACCGATAGGGATTTTTTTTTTTTTAATGTAAGAGTACTGCTATTTATTCAGCCGCTGATTAGCTGATTGAATTGAGCATATACTCCACCTTACTTTTTTTTCATAGTTTATTTATTTATTTATTTTTCTTCTTATATTTATTTATTGAATCGCTCCAACCCATTTATTATTGAATCACTGTGGGAAAAGTTACTAAGCTTTCAGGTTTAAGTCTCAGTCACACAATGGAAGGGGGGGCGGTACCGGCTCGTCCTTCATGCCCTATGGAGGTCATGAGTTGCCCCCCACGAGCGGCTCTCCAACATGGCCATGGCTCCAGAGGCAAAAGGACTTAGTCCAGAGCCCAGCAGCTTGCGGCAGAAAAGTGAATGGACCATGCGTTAAACTATGGTGCCATGCCTCCCCGGGAGGGAAAGGGTGTTGGGGTGTTGCTCCCTTCTGCTTCCCCCTCACACCCTGGCAGCAAGATGGCCACCACCTCAGAGCGTATTGGAAAGCCAGATATGTGCCGGCGGTGACGGGGCAACTGCAGTCTCATGGGAAGGGGGGCGGTACCGGCTCCTCCTTCATGCCCTACAGAGGTCATGAGTTGCCCCCCATGAGCGGCTCTCTGGCACAGCCATGGTTCCAGAGGCAAAAGGACTTAGTCCGGTAGGGATTTTTAAAGCGTGCTGCCCAGGAACCGAAATCTGGCTTCATGTTGGCACTTCCCATGAAACTGGGTGGGCCATGAGTTCCTACCCTATCACCTGGCTGGCTTCATACCCGAGTGTCCAATGCAGAGATGCCCTCCCACACTCTTATCTCCTCTGAGCTGTGTGGGTAACGACTTGCTCTGAGACTCATGTTTGGGGGGTCTCGGCACATGGCTGTGGCTCTGCAGACAGCCCAGAGAGGAGTGGCCATCTCGGGGGCTTCTCCCCGTGGTGAGCCTAGTCAGCAGAGCAGCCTGGGCCCCCAGGAAGAAGAGGATTTACTGCGAGTGGGGAGTTGCTGGGACTTGCCAAACCCCAGTGGGTGAGAGACGCGGAGTGGGCCTCCTTAGCAGAGGACCCAGGTGGGCCGCGGAGACAGAGCGTCAGGGATGCCCTGCACTCACCTTGTTCTGCGCATAGACCATGGTGCCATCGAAGGCCGCGCGCTCCCACTGCAGGTCCTGGGTGCTCAGCTTCTGGACCAGCATTCCCCCGGAGGACACCGTCACCTGCCGTGGCACAGAGAGCCGTGAGCCCACACAGGTCACACCGCCCACTGCTCTTCCCAGCCCATCCAGGGACTTCCCAGAACTGATCATAACTCTGGGGTGTGCAGCGCTACGGGCGTGGCATTCTAGGAGTCAGTGTTGGGGTTAGGTCTGTGGATGGAATCAGAGAGCTGGGGCCAGAGCTGACTGGCAGTGGACCTTAGGGTCAGAAGCATCCCACCAGCTGAGAGTCCTGAGCACCGCGGGGGGAGGCTTAAGAGTCCACAGCACCACTTTCAATCTGGAGGTTTGAGGAGGGGTGCAGATTGTCCCCCGCTTCCTCAGCTTCTTAGGGAGCTGGTGCTCCCTGGTCTGCGGCTGCAGCGTCTGACATTTGCCTCCTCGTGGGACTCTGGGGCTGTGTGGCACCGGAATTTGCAGTCCCGCCCCTCTCCCCACATCAGGATTCTTCGGGACACTGCCTTGGAGGTGACATGGCTCTGGGGTCCAGGTGGAAGCTGGGAACACCAGAATGAGGATTAATAAACACTGTGATCTCCTAGCTCCTGGGGTCTCTGTCATTTTGGCCTACCCATGTCAGGGCATGTTCCCCGGGAAGTGGCCAGCCCCACCCTGGCCTCCTCCCCAGGACGCTGGGAATGGAGGGCAGCCGCCCCGTCATGCCAAGGGGAGGACAGGAGCAGGGGCAGGAGAGGGGTAGGGGTGAGGGGTGCAGGAGAATGCCCGGGAAGCTGTTTCCTGCCAGAATGAACATTCGGGAAGCCAGTCCCAATATCAGGAGCTCCTCCTGCCTCCTCCCCTCCACCTCGGCCCCCATTCCATGTGCTGGACCAGAAAGCAAACCAATGCCTGGTTTCCGAACACTGTACCAAGAGCGAGTCATGGGGGAGGATGCCATGTCCCCCACGCCCGTGGGCAGAATGGGCACCAAGGAGAGTGAGGAGCACAGCGACCACCCGCTCCCCCATCAGGAGCAAAACGGTGCAAGCCACTCACCACTCTAGGGTCCTGCTCCTTCTCCAACACGGGGATCAGGGCGACGGTGAGGATGTAGACACCTGAGGAGCACAGGACATCCAGTGAGGGCTTGGGGTGGGGGGGTGTCCTGCACCCTCTCCAGCTCCCTCCTGGCCCCAGGGGTATAACTGACCCAGGAGTTTACCCAGCTCCAAGTGGCTCCCGCCTCATCCTTATTTCCCTCCCCAGGATCAGAACAGACAAAAACAAGAGAAAAATTGTCCCTGTGTCAGAGAAGGAAAATGCAACCCACAGACTCAAACTGCAGCGAGCCCACACTGCAGGGGAGGAACTGGGGGTTTGGACCCTTGGCGGGTTGATTCCATCTCATCTGTTCAGGCAAGGGGGTACAGAGGGAGCAGCAAAGTTAGCTCTGCTGCAGGTGGCACAGTTGGCCGGGGGACAAGGCGTATGCTCTTCTTGCTGTGTTTCTTTGCTGGTTGGGGATCTGGACCACTTAACAGTGAGCATCTAGTTTCACATGGCTCCCACTGTCATAAACCATCATTCAAAGGAAGAGGAAAACCATGGCAAGGTCTGTGTGAGAGCAGGATTCTCCCGACGCTGCAATGAAGAGTTGGGTAAGAGCAGGAACACAGTTCCACGGATCCCAGTATCCCTCCCACCCTCCCATCCTCCCCCATCCCACCCTGCCTCTGTATCAGGGCATTCACTTTTGTTCTCTCTCTCCTTTTGGGTGCTGAGGTTTGCAAAAGAGGCAATGAGTGGCAATCATGTTTGGTCTATAGTCTACTTTCAGCATGCTTCTCCCATCCTGGGAGGATCCTCCCAATACCCTTTATTTGGTGCTCCCTTCTCTATCTGAGCTCCCTTTTTCCCTAGCATGTGTCTACAACTGTACCTCATGGTGTCTCACTAATAAAAAAAAAATGAGCAGGAACAGAGAATCCCACTGGTGTAAGGAAGGAGATGTCAAGATTTAGAGAAAAATCTCTGCCAGGATGATATTTTGGTGCATTTGCCTTTGTTTGTTTGTTTGTTTGTTTGTTTTGCTGTTTGGGTCACACCTGGCGATGATCAGGGGTTACTCCTGGCTTTACACTCAGGAATCACTCCTGACGGTGCTCAGGGGATCACATGGGATGCTGGGAATCGAGCCTGGGTCGGCTGTGTGCAAGGCAAACGCCCTACCCGCTGTGCTATCGCTCCAGCCCCGAATTTGCTTTTTAAAAAAAATGTATCTCTGAGTGGCGGGAATATTTTTGCATGCACAGCACTATCATTATGTGTTCTGAAATAATGGTCATGTGCTACCATGTATTGGGTGTGGAGAAGGGTAGCAGTCAGTGAAAGCTCCTCCCCTCATGTGAGGTGAGCATGGTAGGGCGCCCCAGGCAGGGCTCTGGACTCTGCCCTCTGCCCACAGGGGCTATGGCAACAGGGGCGTGGGCTCACATGTAGTCTTTTTCGCCTCAATTCCTGACAGAAGAGGGAGATGAGCTGGATGCCCACCTCATGGCTATGAGGACTCAAGGTAACGAGAAAACACCAGAGACCGGGCACGATCACTTGGTTTCTGTGCTGTCCACTACAGAAACCCAAGTCTCGACTTCCTTCCAGGAGCACACTGGGCTGTCCCTGGCCCCACGATCTCCACCGCCTCTCAGTCGCTAATGCGATGTTCCCATCCGTTCAGAGCCCTTAAAGGCTTTCTTTGTATTCACTGCTGGTGGCTTTCTCTGTGATTTAATTTGCGAGAAGTAGAAAGGACTTCTGCCAAATGTGCTCTGCCCGTCAGCCTGCCGTGACGGATGGTCGTAAATAAGTCCTTTGAGTCCCTGGAATGAAAGCTGGACGCAGGCTCCACGCAGCAGGCCGGCCTGGAGCCCTCCCCAGCTGGCCGCCCTCTCCCCTGGTCGGCACGAACACAGGCTCTCCTCCCGCTCCAGAACCTGACAGCACTTTGCTTTCCTTCACCCCCTAGGCAACACCACCTGTGTCCGTGTAGGTGACAACAGAAACGCCAGTGGGAAGACCACAGCCTCATGCAGGCACACACAGGTTGAAGGTGCTGGAGAAAACACCATGGGGGTGGGGGTGGGGTTGCAGCAACAGCACTTGCCACAAAAGACTCCTCTGTCTTTGGAAGAAGATGTCCTTCAGGCCAGACATACAGTACAGTATGCTTTACAGGAAGCAAAGCACTTGCCTTGCACGGGGCTGTAACAGGCACAACCCGGGTTTGAATCCGCAGCACCACATATGGTCTCTTGAGCAACTCCAGTGGTCACTCAAGCACAGAACCAGGAATAGCCCCTGAGCTCCCCTGACAGGGACCCCCAAGCACTACCAGGTATGCTGCCCTCCCCACCTGCTCCCCCCCCCCCCCCCGGCAAAAGGTGAATCTTCCCTGAGTCCTCAAGTTTGCAAGAGAGTTTGCAAGTCACCGTTACCCTGGGAAGACCCAATGCCTGGATCCTGCCCCACACCTCACCCTGTTCACACAGATGCCAAGAACCCAGGGTCCTGCTCCTGCTCTGAGCTGCCAACCCGCCAATCCCCAACATTGCTAAGCAAAAGGCTCCTGGACCTGATGGAGAGGTGGGAGGTGCCTGTCCCTTGGAGTGGGGGTGGGGAGCTCCCATGAAAAATAAATAAATAAATAAATAAATAAATAAATAAATAAAAAGCAGCTTGCACTAGGGTGACTGTGCAGTGGGTGTTGGCCTTGCAGGTGAGTAGCCCAAAAAATGGACAGAAAACTCAGAAACAAAACCAGCAATGGTGTGATCGCCTGAGCCAGCCGCACATGGCCCAACCCCCTGGGGCAGAGAGGACTGAGTTGAGGTGACATCAGGGCTGAGCTGCGCCAGCTGGACCCACTCCCCTGGCAGTGGCAAAGGAGCCTGCATGCAGGGCAGTCCTAGGTATCGGGGAAAGCAGTGCCCGAGCACTGGCTTTCAGGAGCAGCTGCTGAGCCCAGAGAAACAGACACAGTCGCTTGGTTTTTTTGCCTCACTTGTCCAGCTCATGATGGGAGGTAACGCCCTCAGCCCCCTCCAACCTGCCCCTTTCCTCAGTGGGCTCAATTGCACACTCAGAGGTACTTGGGAATGAACCCTGAGAATACAGTGTATCTGTGCTCGTGGTTCAGCTCCCCAGTGACCAAGCTTTCCAGGGTGTTAGCCAGTGACCTTCGCTTCTTTCCTCCCCTTTCACTGCTCTTGTGTCCAGGCCAGGGTGCACGTACCAGGGTCTCACAGGGTTGGGGTGCGTGCACACATGTTCCCCACGTGATTCACTCCTTTCACTGCAAGCATCCCCACACTCTGGGGACGGGGGGGTCGTCACTCTCCTGACCACAGTGCACACAGTTGCTGCTGGGTGCTTGCAGGGCTCACACACTCTGCTGCTGACTCTGACTGGCATAGTCTGTCGCAGCACCAAGGGTGCCAGATTGAAGAGCCACCAAGTTTGAAGTTGGCACATATGGGCATCACTTGGAATCACACTCAGAAGGCAGGTGCTTTGCCACCATGTCCTCCCCTAGGCCATCAACTGCCATTCATTCATTTATTTTGGCCACACCCAGTGTTGCTCAGGGGCAGACCACAACTCAGAGCTTGGGGATCGTTCCTGGCAGAGCTCAGAGGATTATGCAGTTCCAGGAATTGAACCCAGGACTCCCACATGCAAGCACACATTTGAGCCCTTTGAGCCATCTTCCAGGCCCTACCAGGCCCTGTTAAAATAAGAATAGGGCTGGAGCAATAGCACAGTGGGTGGGCATTTGCCTTGTACACAGCTGACCCGGGTTCGATCTCCAGCATCTCATATGGTCCCCTGAGCATCTCCAAGAGTAATTCCTGAGTGCAGAGCCAGGAGCACAGGGTGTGATCCCAAAAGCAAGAATAAAATTAAATTAAATTCATAAGAGTATCTCCAGAGGCTCCTGAGGGATAGTGCAGAAAGTGCCTTGCATGGGGCTGACCCTAGTTTGAATCCCTGGCATTGCATTTCCTGAACCCTACCAGAAATGGTCCCTGAGCACAGAGATAGGAGTAAGCTCTGAACACTGCCAACCTCCAAAGAATCCTCCTGGAAACAGACAGGCAGAGCTGCATAGAAATGAGGGAATCTTGGCCACTCCATAGTAAGGAGTCACCTTAATATGAACCAGCTCAGTGACCTTCTTCTCCCAAGACTGCTTAGAGAAAGGAGGGACATAAAAGGGATTCAGAGTTTTGATGAAAAGGGAAAATAAAGGGATATTTTGGGTTCAGGGTCCCAGGAGAGAGCAGGCCTGGGTACTAGGAAGGCACCTTCAGCTACTGGAAAATGCCCAAGGTTAGTCCTGTTCCCGGTAATAAGGAAAATAATTCGTTATCATTATGACTCATTAGTATTTTTAATTTACACAATGCCTTCCTTCCAAGGAACTCATTATGTCGATGGAGGCTCATTATGGGAAAGAGATTTGAGAGTGGAATTTATGTTGGACATAGTCTTCTAAATATGGCAACACGGACCTTTATTACATGGGTGCATGCCTTGAAGAAAATCTCTCTATAAGCTAATTAAGAGGATGTAAAAGTGTGTCGAGCTGCAGGAGGGCTGAGGGTTCTCAGAGCATCCCTTCCACCATGCCTCCACCCCAAGAGAAAATTCGAGGTGCTCCTGAAATCATACAAGAACTTGGCCATCAGATATCCTAATCGCATCAAAAGTGATCACTGATGAGAAAAATACTTAGTCGGTTTTACTTGTAACATGGGAAATCCGGGCCTGGCTCACAAAACCTCCAGATGACTTGAATTAAAGCCACTTCAGCCACTACTAGACCAATGGTGCTATCTACAGGAAAACAGAATCGGTCTGTCTCCCTGGGGAGTGGCTGGTCAACATGACAAGGGAGCAAAGAGAGAGAGAAAGAGAGAGAGAGAGAGAGAGAGAGAGAGAGAGAGAGAGAGAGAGAGAGTGTGTGTGTGTGTGTGTGAGTGTGAGTGTGGATGAGTGTGTGTGTATGTAGGAGTGTGTGTGTGTGTACCACTGCCCCTTCTCCATGTGCGTGACAGAAATG